CCGACAATAATAACATAGAACTAAAGTAAGACAACGAGAAACCCGCAATAACGCCTGACTAAAATGATAATAATATCATAGAACTATAGTAAGATAATAAGAAACCCGTAATAACTTCGGAATAAAACGACAGTAATACTTTAAAAGTAATGAAAGGTTAAGGAATATTGTTATACAATTTAAGCATTACATACATCAAAACATACATTAAAATTCTTGTTCAGTTAGAATAATCATTAGTAAATGTCAGGCAAGAATTTCAACAATACTTCAAAATAATATCGAGTTTAGGTTGGATTGTAATGTATGGTTCCACGATCGCTGGTTTTATTGAAATATTCCACTAGAGATTCTAATCAAACCAGACGGAGGGGTGGTAAATGTTTGCAAGGTTTTATCCGCCGTGGTTGTACTTCAATATTTTTACGGTCATGTTTAAGTTGTATTGTAATATATGGTCCACGGTTGCTGGTTTTATTGGAATATGCCGCCAGAGATTCCAATCAAACTAGGCGGAGGGGCTAAAATTATAACAAGGTTTTATCCGCTGCGGTTGTAATTCAGTATTTTTACTGTCGTGTTTAGGTTGTATTCTAATATATGGTTCCATGGCCGCTGATATTATTGGAATATGTCACCAGAGAATCCAATCAAACCAAGCAGAGGAGCAGAAATTTTAGCAAGGCTTTATCTGCCACGACTGTACTTTGGTATTTTTACGGTCGTGTTTAGGTTATATTCTAATATATGGCTCCACGACCACTGGTTTTATTGGAATATGCCGCCAGAGATTCTAAACAAAGCAGGCAGAGGGGCGAAAACTTTAGCAAGGTTTTATCTGTCACGGTTGTACTTCAGTATTTTTACAGTCGTACTTAGGTTGTATTCTAATATATGGTTCCACGACCGCTGGTTTTATTGGAATATGCCGCCATAAATTCCAATCAAACCAGACGGAGGGGCAGAAATTTTAGCAAGGTTTTATCTCCGCGGTTGTACTTCGGTATTTTTATGGTCATGTTTAAGTTGTATTCTAATATATCGTTCTACGGTTGCTGGTTTTATTGGAATATGTCACCAAAGATTCCAATCAAACCAGGCAGCCAATCAAACTAGGCAGAAATTTTGGCAAGGTTTTATTCACCGCAGTTGTACTTCGGTATTTCTACGGTTGGGTTTAGGTTGTATTCTAATATATTGTTCCACGACCGCTGGTTTTATTGGAATCTTTGGCTACAATAATAAGCTCGTAATAAAATGACAATATTATCATAGATCTATACAATAATAAACTCATAATAACTCCTGAATAAAACGACAATATGAATAAAACGACAATAATACAAAAACGACAATAATACATTAAAAGTAATGAACAGTTAAGAAAAAGTTCGTTACAGTTTATACATTACATACAATGATAAACCCATATTATGATAACGCGTTCTATATATTATCATCTATGTCCATTAATAAGCTCGTATATGTCTCTGTGTGCTGTGTTGTAGAAAATTTTTGTTCATTCAGAGTAGTAATGAGTAAATGTCAGGAAATAAGTATACTTCAAAATAATAAAAATCACAAAACAAAAATTTCAGCAACATCGAGTTCTCAACCTTACTAAATCGATCTGCCATTGAAAAAATATTTGGCTCGCATTGCGGAACGCTATCATGACTTGAACCAGTATCTTTATCCTTTTCTGTATACAACATTACATGTTAGCAAGTAATGATTCAGCGAACTAAAGCAGCACTTAAAGTTATAGGTAACATTTACTTTTGATTCTCTTGTTTTTTTCCCAGTAGCCCCAGTAGCCTTTTTTCCCAGTAGCCTTTTAACCTTGCATTAGATATTTCTTTTGGGCGTATCTTCATGGAATCATTCACATTTCACTCTTTACTCGGTGTCATCTTCTTTTTTTATTTTAAATTTTCCTAAGGTTCTCGCCCACTCAATATGGCTTCGACATCAATTGTTAGTTTATTAAGTGCTTCTAACACAAGCTTCTTGGCAAGTTCATGACCTCGCGTTCTGGTGTCGATCTGGTATGTGAATTTATGAATGTGATTGAGATAAGTGAGTCAATTTGCAGAATTTGGCAACATTTCTGACCCCTTACGATGTACATAACCATAACTGTTATATATGTCCCTTTTAGCATTAATGGACCATCGAAGTAAAATATATTTATCAGGAATTTTTGTTATATTTTTGTGCTGAAGAACCCTTAGAGTGTGAGCACATAATAAACCCATCATTTCAAATTTTTAACAACTACAGGTAATATCATAATTATCTATGTCCAGTTTAACAATCAAGGATCTATCTCTGTCCTTATTATCAAGACATCGAATATGAAATTTTGAATCCATATTAACGGAGCTCTCCACAGCAAGCCCACACAAACATGTAGAAACTGTGCTTCAAACATTGAATATAGCTTCCTTATGTAAAGTAGAGCAACCTGTCTCAACACGGGACTACTTTTTACAGCGGGAGAAATTGCAGATTGTTGACATTTAAAATATTTATCCTTCTCATTTATTCTCCAAGATTTCATGACATTTTCAAGACCCAAAAAACATTTGGTGGGGGTGCTTGTTTCCCTGGAGACACCATGAAAAATGTTATTGGTGGCCTCACTTCTTTGCGTTGATAGGACCCCCATTTCAAAAATTTCTTTATTGAAGGCGGTTGCCCAAGTATGTCTGATATTATACAATTCATCCAATCAAACATTCTCGTGTAGATTTTTTTTCTCGATCATTGCACCCTAAGTTTCTTCGAACACCTCTTCTGAGTCACATCTGCTCAAACATTTACAAAAAGCATCATTGACTCTCTTGCTACCCACGTCACAATGGACTTTTAAAGATAATTTCTTATATATGTGCCATTGACATAATCTATGTCTGGTGTGCGACAGACACTCTTCAATGGCTTTAGACATTGCTTGATCCTAATCAGTGAATATTGTTATTGGGTGCTTGTTATTCATTATACAGATAAAGACTTTGAATAACCACTTGAATGATTCAACCGTTTCATCTGACAAAAAACCAACACCAAAGAGAACATTTTGTCAGTGGCGATTTACACCAACAATCGGAGCACAACATAAAGTATTTATTCAGTCTATAACTTGTATCAAATATTATTACATCCTCAAAGCAGTTCTAATCACTCATGGACATCCCATAACTCCATAAGAAAATTCAACAAACTACCTAACTCATCAATTTGGAAGTCCCACGTAAACATTGGATCCTCCGCTTGCCGTTTAGTGAACAATTGTATGAGAGAATTAACATCCCCTAGTTCAATTTGAACTCTTCTATCTTTTTGTATGAAATTATAGGCATCGCTCTTCGTGAAATCAAAATTCTTCACTCCTCCAACCTCTGTAGCGAGGAATTTGAATGCATCGTTAGTTCTAATCCCTAATTTTGTCATTGATCTCAGGACATCAACACTGATTTCACTCATCTTTCTGCTGGAACAATAAATGTTTGTCACCGTCCTCCGCCAACGGATGGTTGCGACTTTCTATGAATTTCTTAACCGACCAGTTGCCAACCGACCAGTTGCCTTATCAGGTTCCCTTCTAAAACAACGACATATCAGATTATGGCTGGACAACCAGTCCTTGTGTCTGCTTTTTTGAACCTCACCGTAATATTATCCTTCAACTCTTTTTTGAAACTAGTCTTACCATAAACAAAATCCTTTGTCTTAATCTTCTTTGAATTCGACGGAAAACCACTGTGGTCCTTTTGCACAGTAAATCTAATATGGTGTGCATATACACAATATTGTTCATGGGCTTCCTTCTCATTGTGGAAAACTGCACGAAACAATTTCTCTGCCTCAGGTGACTGCAAATTTAAACATCAACATTAGCACCACTAAAGGAAATCAATACAAGACTACAATACATAAATCACATGGTCATAATACCATAATATAACCCAGATAACACTATTATAGTGCCAATATAATAGACCAATCAAATCACGTTATTATATCGGGATATGTTACTATCATCATCGTTAAAAGTCTATAATATACAGATAAAATCGTGATAAAACCACAATAACGCCATGATAACACAATTAGAACGCTAATATAAGACTCCAATAAAACATCTCATTAGATCAAATAACACTAGGATAACACCATGATAGTATCAAAATAACACCACACTGCCACCCACCATATATGATACCTTACAGGGAAAAAACACCCGCTTAAAACCACAATAACACAAGCATAACACCATCAACATAATACACCAAAACAAAACCAAGTTATCAGATCCAATATTACCTTAATAACACAATGAAATTACCAAAATAACACCAAATCCCCACGACAATAACATTACAAGCAAATGATATTGTAACAACTCAAAAAACAACAAGTATAGCACCGTGATATTACCTAAATAACACCACATCCCACACTAACCGAAACTTAGCGTTACACATCAGATAAAAACAAAACAAACTTCATTAACAAGACAAATATTTCTTTAAACTTAAATCCGTAGTAAAACAAATATAACCTACCTGTCGAATCTCTTTTGTCGCAACTAAACTCAGCTCCTTATCACGATTCTCGAAAATATTTTGAGATTCCAGCTCATTATCATGTCTCTCGCAAGTATCATGAGATTCCAGCATCATTTCTTTGTCAAGAAATATTTCCATCGAACCCTATCAACCGAATACAAATGGATCCCTAGAAAAGTAACGAAATGAGAATATCCCAAATACATAAATCTAATGGAGACAAAATACGACCTTTTCCGATTGGCGAGAAGTGAAAACGACAAAACTGTGTTTATTTTTGTGCTTGGGTAGAACTCGGGACGGGTCAGACGCAATGTAATATAATTTTTAGGATTGTGGGGACATATTCCATGTTATATTTTGTTATTGACTTCCACATATAGCCTTATATGCGTTACAAGTATGAAATAATTCTTCAATTTTGAGAGCATTATTTTTAGGCGAACAAACTTTTGGCTCCCCATCATTCTCTCTCTTTTCATCTTACATTGTGAGCGAGAATAGCAAGATGACGGCTTTCGGTCAGGTGGTGATCGGGCCTCCGGGCTCGGGGAAGACCACGTATTGCAACGGCTTGTCGCAGTTCCTCAAACTTATCGGAAGGTATTAATCTTAACCTTGCCCATTACTCGAACTTGAATAAGTTCCCCTTTCCTCGTCGGCCCTTTCTCTATTTTTTATTGTTAATTTGTTTTCATAACATATTCGCCGAATTTACATTCGTTGGTGATTAGGGATCGGACTGTGAACGAGATGCTCATCTATTAATTTTCGTGAATCATTTGTTTGAAATCATCGGTTCTATGCTCCGTTAAACGAAAATTCTGACACTTCCGTATGTGATCTCTCCGTGGGTGAGAAATGTAACAACACATTAATGTTACAGTAATGGACTTACAAGACTAAAATGCTGGCTTCAGCAAGAAGGGGGCTTCAAAACATCGAAATTACAAACGACAAATTAAAGCCCCCACCAAAAAGACCAAAATACATATAAAATTGGGCTTAGAGGATATGCAAATAAGATCACAGGCACCGTTAAGAGATAGTGCAAGCAACTACATAATATAAAATCTCAAACGACACATGCATGACACACAAAAGTTACTAGAAATTAAATATCCGAAATGCGCTTGATATTTCATCTTGATACTATGAAAACATTACTACTTTGGTTGAGCATTTATATATACAGCCATGTGTTATCATCGCCAATCAATCAACTCTAAACTCTAAAGTAAAATAAGGATTAGCTGAAAAAAAGAGTCTTTTGATAGAGTACCTATAAAGGCATGCAGTAAAATTTATAAAATCCACTGTCTCAATTCTCAAGTGAATTATTGTCCAATATCAGCTAACAATAAGCCATCTAGAGGTGTAGATAACTGTACATTATGATAGAAAGTATAACTGACTTTTAGCAACACTAATGATTCCATAATCCCTAGAAGTTCCTTAAATGAAGCAAATCATCTTCCAAATCTAGATAAACTATCAAATTCATAAAAAATATAGTCATAAAATAGTTTCATATCTCCGAAAGGTAATACTATTTTCTAGACCACATAACAACATTGATAAGATGTTTGAGTTCCTTTTGATATTGATGTTTGCAATTTTTATGGAAATAGAGCAATAAAGTTAATGCTTCTCTTGCAAATTTCAATCTACATTCACTAGATGCTAATCGCCATAACATGACTATTTATGCGACCAAGGTTAATAATTGTTATAGCTTAATATTATCCCCAGTCAAAAGGTGGGATCAGATTTAGGGTTTTAATCTGATCTAACTTGGTCATCATTTTGTTTTAAGGCTTCAACCAATCATGCTCAATTTGGGGAACCTTCAAAACCCAACTTTGTTTAAACCTTTAGGGCTTGCTTGATTTGGTTTAGAACTTGATAGACCTTACAAAATTGTTTGTGCTTAGATTAGCTCTAGCTTAAATTGAGCATTGGTTAATAGCTTGTTTACTCATGTTGGAGTTAATCTATTTTACCTTTTGGTTAATATAATCAAGTGCTTGAGTCTCACGGGTCATTGTAAGCTATGTTTTTTTTTCTAATACACCAAACATGATTAATGATCAAGTCATATGTAGTGTCCTCGATAATAGCTATTTTTTGCTTAGCCTAAACGCTAGACATGTTTAAAGTACTTATGACTCTACCCCACTTAGAATTTCAAACCTCGATGAAATAGGCCCTTTTAATGGAGCTTAGGGCTAAGATGAATCATCTCTTCTTGCCTATTGACTATTTTCTGCATGTTTTAAGCAAAACATACACGTTTATATACTGTAGGTTTGTTTGGTTGTTTTATGGGTTGTGTACAAGCTAGGTAAACAAAATCCTTCCCTTATTAGACTTCAAGTCAAGCTTTACTAATGGTGGATTGTGTAACAATAGAAAATTAAAATAATGCTTATTCATATTTGCAGTTTAGCTTATGGGTGAAGATAAACACATGCCATTAATGGATTAGAATTTAGGGTTAGTTTCTATTTTTCTGCTTATGCCCTACATTTGTTTATATTTGTACTATTTAAGGATTATTGTTTGTTGAATTTTTGTAAACCATTCTCAGTGGACCATCCTTTTTATGTTTGTATCGATTAGTAAATAGACATTGAGTTTGCAATAATTGGTTTAATGCCAAAGTTGAACTAGCTGTCAAATGTGGAAAATTATTTTCTAGCATCATAATTAAGCATCTAAAAGAAAGTTTTAATTGAAATTATGGGTTCATGAATTACTCTTTCAAATTAGTTTTTGGTTGGTTGTGTTTTCATGGTATATTAGAATATCTCATGCTCCTTGACTCTGCAATAAGTTTGATCCTGAGCATATTTTTGTTGCTTGTAAATCGAGGGCTAAGCCCAACCAACATCATTAATCGATTATATAACAAAATAATAAAATCATAGTCATGGGCTCAGAGATTAAAATGTTGACCAAGCAAGGATTAGACTTTTGAAGCATAGAACTACAAACAAGAAAGTTAAAAATCTCCTCTAGAAGACCAAAACACATAAAAATAGGTCTCATAGTGAATACAATTAAGAACACAAGCACCATCTAAACATAGTGTAGGCAACCACATAATATATAATTTCGAAAGGTACAGGCATGATATACGAAAGTCACTTTTATAAATTAACCATCTCAAAATGCACTAAATATTTTATTATGATACTAAAAAAATCACTTCTTGGTTGAGTCATTCATATATTTTTGTGTCTCAGTATTGCCCATCAAAAAAGAGAAATCAAAAGAAAAACCAGTTAGAAAAAGAGTTTCTTCACAGAGCAATAATAAGGGGAAGTTCTAAAAAATAGAATCAAACATCAAATTCCCCCAAGATCCGCTACCTTAAGATAGTTTTAATCCAATACTAGCGAGAAATAAACGGTCGAGAGATGTAGGTCATAGTACAATCATAAAAGAAAGTATAATCAACCTTCAACAATAAATGAGTCCCAATAATCCCCAAAAATTACAAGGAAGGAAATCATCTTCCAAAATCCAACATCCTAATCAACGTCAACTAAAATATGGTGACATGATAGCATCATATCTCAAGAATTGAATATTTTTTTCTTAAAGCACAACATCATTGATAGGATGTTTGTTCTCTGCAAGTTTCAATGCACATTTATTTGATCACCGTAACATGATCGGTTATGCAATAAAAGGTTAATTATTTTTGTAGTTTTATATTATTTTAAGTCGAAAGGTGGAACCAGATTTTGGAGTTTATTATGATCTAACATGGTCATGCTTCCTGTTTAAAAAAAAGTCAATGTTGCTCAATTTTGGGAACCTTCCTATCTCAGCTTAGGCAAAGTCTTTAGGGCTTGCTTGATTGGGGCTAGAATTGGGTAGAATTTACAAACTTGTTTGTGCTTAGGTTAATAGATCATTTACCAATGTTAAATTTAATCCATTTTGCCTCGAGGTTAAGTACTTGAGTTACACACTATCACGCTATCATGTTTGAACAATGAACCATTTGATTTTGGATCGATGATTTTCTGTATATCACACTCATGATTTGAATCACATCATCTTTAATTATAGTTTAGATTAAATTCAATCATAGTTGAGCTATGAATTTCAATAGATCCAATCACCGTCATTATTGGCCACCTTATGTACACCATGTCATCATATCGCTTGCATTAATGCATGCACTGAATATTTAAGGGACTTATTTAAAATCTCCAAATGATCTTAAAAATTTATCAGATGTTATCTAAGGGATCACATGTTAAGGTTTAAACTAAAGTCAAATTCAAATCTATTTCAAATCACATTCAAATCAAGTTAAATCCTTAATTCTAAGTGTCATATCTAGCCTTATTTGTCTAATCAAACTAGGTGAACTATCCATGAACAACAAGCATAGACACATGAATCTTTGGCCCCCTAGGCTAGTTTTAGCGTCCTTAGTGAGTTATCCCTTTGCTTGCCCTATGACGTTTGGCCTCTGTTTACTCTATTTATTTAGGTACAACCTTCTTTTATTGGGGGTTACTGAATTGGCCTTGCTCTCTTTTATGAATCTGGCCTTGCTCTCTTTTATGAATCTGGCCTCTTTTATGAATCTGGTTTATTGGGGGTTACTGAATTGGCCTTGCTCTCTTTTATGAATCTGGTTCTATCCTCAAGTGATGGTCTGAATAATCTTAGACTACTGCAGTTTACCTTTGACTTTAGCTTCCTTAGTCAAAACTAGGTGTTTTCTTAGTCTCCCTTGTCTAACTTAGTTCATTCTAAGTGATGAATCTCCTTAATTCTAGGTGAAATTCTAGACTTATTCATCTCATCAAATTATGTGAATCACACGTGTCTAACTTAGTTCATTCTAGGTGATTATTCTTCCTACTTTTATGTTAAACCCATATACTTGTTCGTCTAACCAAGTTAGGTGAATCATTAGTCTCTAATTTAATTCATCCAAATCATGATCCTCCTTACTTAAAACCATAAACTTAAATGCTTGAACAATTAGGTGAATTACCTTTGTGCTTATTTCTCTAGCCATATCAGCCAAACTCTTTCATTTCTTAGTTCTAGGTGTTACCCCCTTTTTTTTTGGCTTAACCTAATTAGGCAAATCTATCATTATTTTGAAACCATGTTAACCTTTAACCTTTAGTCCTAAGTGATATGCCTATATTTGTTTACTTGATCAAATCAAGTAAAATAGCTTTAAGAACCCAAATCTCTTTGACTTGAGTATTCCTTAGTGAGCTATTTCTTAGCCCGTCTTGGGATATTTGACCATTATCTACCCTATTCATCTTAGTCATATCTAGATTCAGATCTATTAAAGTGATACTAGGCTTGTTTAGCTGAGTTGACTGTAAGTGATGATTATGTCCTAGTTTTATCTATTCTATTTGTGGCCATACATACCTCTAATGACTATAGGTGTGTCCTTGGTAAGGGTGTCAACAAGTCGATTTGAGATTGAATTTTAATTAAGTTCGAGCTTGAGCTAAATTCTATGAGTTTAAGTTGGTTCGTGTGTGTGTGTGTGTGTGAGTTAAATTGCCTAAATAACTTATTTAACAATTGTTGTAAGTTAAAGATAATTACAACAATTATAATTATGAATAATATATAATTGTTGATGGCCTAAATAAGTTAATATAAAGAATTAACTTATTTTTCTTTATATAATTGTTGTAATAGAATAACCAAAATGAGAAATTAGAGAAGAAATTATAAGAAATCATTTGATATAAATAAGAATATATTTAAAATAATTTTTCAACAAATTGGTATTTATACATGAATTTTAATTTGTTTTAAAGGTCTTTTGTATTAACATTCTTTAATCAAGCCGGTTTATGCTCACGTTTGGCTAGTTAACTCATTAAGCTCAATTCATGAGCCATTTATTGGGCTAAGCGCAGGCCGACTCATGAGTTTCTTGACTCAGTTACGACCTTACTCCTTAGCCATTCTTCATCTAAGTTAATTCGTTGAAGGTGATGATATTCTCTTTCACTCTAGGTGAAATACCTAGATTTGCTTGCACACATTAGGTAAACAACCCTTATTTAGGCCCTTAGGTGATGTGACTAGAATTGTTTACTTGGCTTAATCAAGTTAACCCTTTCTACTAGTAACAATTTAAAATAAAATCATTTCTTAGATTCTTATTTGACATATCTATACCTCTTTGTTTGCGCCCAATTAAGCAAGTATTCACTTATCCTTATTTCCAAAACCATAGATCTTCTTACTTAGCCCAATCAAGAAAATACTCGCCTATCTTTTTGATTCAAAATCATAACTTCACTTGCTTGGTCCAATCAAGTAGTATTCACTAAGGCTTAAAGCATGTGGAACTCTTCTTTAGCCTGAAAGCTGATTTAGTTCAATCTGCTTTGCCTAATCATGAAATTATCATCTATCCTTACTCTAAATTCTTTGATCCATTTGCTTTGCTTAGTCAAGAAAGTATTCCTTTATCTTTAGGTTCAAAGCATTAGGTTCAAAGCATTAGATTCATCTTTAAGTTCAAAACCTTATGTTTACTTGCTTTGCCCAATCAAGCAAGTACCCTCTTTTCCATAGGTTTAAGACCTTAGGTTTAGTTTCTTATCTTTAGGCTCATAAGCCTTAGTCTCGCTTGCTTGGCCCAATCAATCAAGTGACTCTTTACCTTTTGGGCCCATTTTCTTGGCCAAATCAGGCAAGTGCATATCCATTCTCAAGCCTAAAGGTTTACGTTCTCATGCCGTGTTCAATCAAGCAAGTTTATCTTGCATTTTTAAACCCACTAGTTAATATTGTTTTGTAGTGTAGCGTTGACATGTTATGATGCTAGGCTTATAGGAATTAAATTTTTTACCTAAAATTGTAAGCAACTCAAAATCAACCAGAGGTTAAAAGATTTTTTTGTAAGAATTGCATGACTTCTTAAAATTAAGCTATGATTTGAAAAACAAAATGAATTCAAAATGCCTTCTTATGGATCTCAGTGTGCAATTTAGTATTTGACTAATTATTTTATTCATAAGAATGTCCTTATTCAAATCAATTAAATTTAAGTCATAGTTGACACACATATATGCATGACCACGAGTCTCATATGTTGAAATAAAAGCTCCCACAATGAACCACGATTAATTATGATAAGGTGGAATTGAGCCTTGTTAAAATGAAAGGAAATAATTAGATGAGGGTTGCTGAATTTCTTAAGTTTTCTACTTTCCAATGACTTGAACTAGGGATTGGGAATTTGAAGTAGCAATCATTAGCCTGTAACCTGAAGGATTCTATAGGGGCCACCGAAATATGTGATGGCGATGGAAATGGTTGATTTCTTGGTTCATCCTATGATTGGGAGGTGTTTGGTTTGGGTGTGGAGAAATGGATATTGAACGCAAATAGGAAAGAGAAGTTGGAAAGATAAATGGCCATAGCAATGATTTTGATCGAGGATTTGCAAGTGATGCTAGAAGAGGTGAGAAAAAGTTGGTGAGTGGAAAAGTTGGCATGTCATTCTTAATGCAGGCCCAGGCATATTGAACGATTGCTGAATCTGACAAGGAAATTTGAGGCAGCCCAACAAGTATTGCAGCACCAATGGAAGATCTATTATGTGAAAGGAGACAACTGAATGATCAAATATCTTATCAGTCACCCATAGTCTGTCTGAATATTGCTTATTGTCTACATGACTGTAAAGCACTTAGAGAATGGGAACTCATATTTTATGTATAAATATATTTAATACTTTGAACTGTGGCTTTTGAAATCTTCTTTAAAAGGCATTGATTCACTTGGCTGCTTCTAAAATGTCACAGTTTATGAATATCCTTACCTCATATGGCTCATGTCATGATCAATTATTCTTATCAGTCGCCTCATGATCTCTTGTTTTATTCTGTTAACGTGGAGGTAGAGGATTCAATTGTGGTGTTGCCATTGATACGATGACTAAAAGAATTTGCCTAGGACTTCAAGTTCCATCAATATTCATCAGGGTTTTTATCCATGAAAAATTGTTAATTTTGAATGGATGAAGCTAAGTGTTTAGCTAGTAATGATTAATTAGTCAGGGATGAGTGACAATTCTGGATGTTGTTTTGCTTATTGATTTGATTACTTATTTGCAAATTAAACTCTAAATTAAATAGTTTGCTAATTCAAAAGATTAAATCAATTTTCTGGATAGCTAATATTGCCCAATTAAATCTCTTAAGCTATTTATCTATCAACTGCATCATAGTTGATTTGAATTATGCAGATTCTAACCCCGTTTGTCAGCAGGTCCTCCATGATTTATCCCCATTTTTATCACCGCAATTGCAAACTAACACAGGGATGATGACTCATTCCTACGTGGCATGCAGGGAAAATTTGATGGACCAATTGGACTCAAGCCTGTGCATTTGAGTTATTTTCCCCTGATTCGGATTAGCCAATGATTAATTTTGTTTCTTGATCAAATATTATGGTTGCCCGGTTTACTACTTGTTGATACGTTACCTTATATGGCAACTATGCAACATCGTCATCATTAGCCTTATCTCAATTATTGAGAGTTCTCTTTATAAGATAAAACTGTATACTACTTATATGTATTATATCATGATAGATTCTTTTTTGGGTGCACCCTAGCTGGTTTAAAACTTTAAGATTGTACTGTGGATTGTGGATTTGCATATGAGTGAAAAAAGGAATTAATTATTAATGTAGACTATGAGCAAGAGACAGAGAGAGAGAGAGAGTTGTCTTGTTGGTTATTGGCATTGATAACAATAATATTATTATTTTTGGGAGTAGGAAGAGAGAGAGAGAGAGAGAAAGAGAGAGAGAGAGAGAGTTGTGTTGATGGTTATTGACATAGATAACATTAATAATGTTGCCAAGAGGAAAAGAGATTAAAAATTAAGATTTCATTTTGAGTACGTATGGTTCAATGCAAGTAACTTTGTAATTCATGGGAGTTACATGGAAGGTTTTAAAATGTTGGCTGATGTAAGTGGAAGCTATCTTTGGGGTCTAGATGGTATTTATCCTTTTTTTAAACATAAAATATTGGCTTGGAATGGCGTGAAAATATATGTTTTGGCCACCATTTTTTTTTGTTCTATCTGTTTTAAGCCCATTTCATCATATTATATTTGTGCTTTTATTTTTTAAAAATTTATGGAGTGTCTCACAAACCATTGTGAATGAATTGCATTATGACTTTCAAATGATTATTCATTTGTTGTAGGAAAGTGGCTGTTGTCAATTTGGATCCTGCAAATGATGCATTGCCGTATCCTTTCAACTGTGAATTTTCTTTTTAAGTGGTTATTTATTATCTTTTATGAAATGCTGCATGGCTTTCCTTTACCAACATAGATATGATTGTGCTATTAATATTGAAGACCTCATTAAGCTTGGTGATGTTATGGCAGAACATTCTCTCGGACCAAATGGAGGTTTATTCTTAAATATTCCTTTTTACTGCCTTTGGAAGTATGTTTATATAAATGCATTTAGGGATACACCCATGTAAATATAGTATCATCCGTTGAGAGAGAGAAATTTTATATTGAATGCTGTCAGAGATCACGTGCTATAAATAGGCAATATAATCTGAAAACAGAGAGAAAAATTACTTAGGAGATTATCCTCATTTAAGAGGAAATAAAAACACAATAACAATGTGTATCTGAATATTGTAGTTTTTGTATCAACACTTGTCTAAGTAAGTTTCCTATCATAACACTTGGCTTTAAGTTGGAGCATATATATCAATAAATTTAGCTTTTTTACCAAAAGTGGAAAGAATAAAAAGCCCTCAACGTTTGATAAAAATATTGGTCATTTATTTTTTTTACTCGAAACATGAGGATTGATGATCATCTTCAGCAAAATTGCATCTTTGATGAAGTGATGACCTACTTCAATATTTTTGGTTCTTTCATGGAAGCTATGATTGCTTGGAATACTTAAAAAAATAGTTCTTTGATTATCTTAGGGTCCGTTTGGGGCAGCTTATTTGGTGCGGTGGCGTTTTGAAAACGCACCTGGTCTGTTTGGGTAAACTGCGTTTTGACAGCACAGTTGACAGCTTATGCGTTTTCAAAACGTTGAAAACAACATTTTCACACCGCACCTGTTTAGGTGCGGTGATAGCTTTCTGACCGCGATCTGACAATTAAAAAAAAATAAAAATATGACTTTGCTTCAGTCCATATGCAGCTTTTCAAAGCTTACATATATTGACCAACCTTTGGTCAACATACTCAGGAGGCTATTCCATTAAAATTATTTTGGTAAGATCTACATAGAGAAAAGCTTTATTGATGTTTTTTATATAATAAATAATTCTGAATTAAAGATTATATGTAGATGATGACGTAGATTTAGGTTGAACAATTGGTTAAGAAATCTAGAAGTGGTTAATACCATGAATTTGTGTATATCCTTGGGTCACCAGTTGAGACATATAAAGACCAATACAGCCATCAGATTGAAACTTAATATTGAAGACCCATTGACAAGAAATATATGTAACTCTTTTAGGAGGTTTAACCATTCTCAGCTATGACATTCTAGATCACCCATTTCATTATTCATAGCCCAATTCTAATTAAACTCAAGCAAGTCCTTTTGGTGAGATAGATAAAATAGGCATTCAAAAGAAAAGTGATGAAAGGAAGCGAGCAAATGAGAAAAGATTGTTATGGATGACTAGTTCATTGGACTTTACCTTTGCAGAGAAGATGGAGAGATTCTGATTAATGGTATAAAATTGCTGAGCCATAAAGATGAGATGGAAGGAGGTTTTGGAGAGGAGCTAGTGATGCCTGTGAGTATAAGGTTGTAAGGGAGGAGGGAGGAGGGAGGAGTTGGTGTCAGGGCCAAAGGTGGTAGAGGCGCAAATAGAGAATGCTTATAGGAGATGAAGTGGAAGCAAAGTAGGGATATCACATGAAAGTTAACATCAACCAAGTAAATTTTCTAGTTGGATTGTCATAACATTAATGTCAAGCATGAGAATAACCTAAGAAGATGTGTTGAATGACGCGGGGGGATTTTGCCCCGATCAAGCTGAAAGGATATACAAAACACAAATAGCTAAAGATTCAAGGAGTTAAGTAAAAATATGATGTATGAGAAATAAAAAATAAATAGTGGAGTAGCACCATTCAAAATGGTAGATGAAACTTGATTTATTGACATGCAAGAAGAATAACATCCCCTCAGTAATGGCATCAAAATCACTAAGGTGTGAGCAATGCCAATAAGAAGACGATTGTTGAGCTTTACTATCATATTTAAATGAGATTTATAAGATTTATAGGATTAATGTATGATTTCAATGTCAATTAAAAAAGAGAAAAAAAAAAACTGCATAAATTCAAGAACATTATTTAGCACTAAGGGTTATAGATTTGAACACGAAACTTCACTTTTTGTCTTGATAGAATAAATTGATATGGTTCTTCAAATGATATTTCAACGGGTAAACTCAAGTGATTTGGGTATGATCATCTATGAAGAAAACAACAACAACAACAAGCCTTTATCCCACTAAGTGGTGTCGGTTACTTGAATCTTTTTTCTCCATTGTGTTCTATTGAGTGTTATATTTTCATTTAATTCTAATAAATTAAGATCATTTTTTATACATGAACAAAGTATTTTTAGGTCTATCTTTACCTTTCTTAAAATAATTCGATTCTAAAACATCTACTCTTCTAACTGGATCATCAGATGGTTGATATTTAATGTGACCAAAATATCTAAGATGCCTCTAATATTGTATGCCATTGGAGCTACACTAACCCTTTCAGGGATATATTCGTTTCACATTTTATCTCTAATTGTAAAGCCACTCATCCACCCAAGCTTTCTCTTCTCAACAACACTTAATGAATTTAGGCTTCTCTTTTTTAGACCAATATTCTTTGTCATAAAGCATTGCATGTCTCACCGCCATCTTATAAAATTTCCTTTAAGTCCAAGCGGTACCTTTCTATCACACGGTATACTTGATGCATTCCTTCACTATAACCATCCAACTTTGAATTCTACTAATAGCATCCCCATCTATATCACCATCACTTTGAACAATAGACCCGAGATATCTAAAACGTTCACTCCTTTTAATGACTTGATCACCTATTGTCACAGTTCTACCATTAGATCTACTACTACTAAAATTATATTTAATATATTCAATTTTAGATCCACTAAAAAAAATATTTAGACTCTAAAGTTGACCTCCATTATTTAAGTTTTTCCTGAACTATTTCTCTAGTCTTATCCACAAGAAGGATACCATCAACGAAAAGCATATCTAAGGTACATCCTCCTGTAAATGTCTAGTAAGAACATCCATAGCTAAAATAAAAGATATAGGCTTAAAACTGATGCGTGGTGTAATCCAACTAAAATAGAAAATACTTGGTCAATCCCCATTCTGTTTGAACAAAAGTAACTGCTCTAGCATACATCTCTTTAATAAGTTGAATATAAGTCATATCAACACTTTTCTTTTTTAGAACTCTTCAAAGAACTCTTGAAACTTTATCATATGATTTTTCTAAATTAACAACAAATATATGTATGTCCTCTTTACTCTCTCTAAACTTGTTCATAAAATCTCTCAGTAAATGTATAGCTTCCATATTAGACTTGCCCAACATAAATCAAAATTGATTTTTTGAAACTTTTGTATCACGTCTTAACTCATGTTTAATTACTCTCTCATAATTTTAATATGTGACACATTAATTTAATTCATCTATAATTAGCACTCTCTTGTGCATTTCCTTTATTCTTAAAAATAGTGATCAAAATACTATTCCTCCACTTCGTAGACATCTTTTTAGTTTTTAAATAATATTAAAAAAATTTAGTAAGCCAAGAAATTTCCAAATCTTCTAAATATGTACCATTTCTATTGGGATACTATCAGATCCCACTGATTTTATATCATTTTTTTAAAGCCTCATCAAATTCTATTTTACTAATATAACGGTAAATAAAATGTTTTACCATTATTAATGATATTAAGATTACTAAAGTCGATTGTATCTTTCATTATCTTAATTAAAATATTTATCAAAATATGTCACACACCTATGTTGAATATCCTCATCTAAGAAAAATACTTTTTGATTTTCATCCTTAACACTTGAACTCAATCTTTACTTTTCTTATCTCTTTGCTTGACTAGTCTGTACATATATCCTATTTAGTATCTAACCTATCATAAAGATCTCTAAAAATAGATATCTTAGCATCACAAATTATTCTTTTAGTCTCTTTACGAGTCATCTTATGTTTTTCTCAAAATTTAAAGCTTTTACATTTAAGTCAATTTTGATAATAAAATTTTTATATTTTATCTTTTCTTAAAAATTATTATTCCATCACAAACTATTTTTATTTATAAGAATTCTTTTTTATTTTCCAAGTACATATTTTGCAATATTTTTAACAATGTGTGTTACTTATCTTACATAACATTAGCTTTTTCATGAACATCTAAAATCATTAAATATTGAAGTTTATTTAAAAAAAATAATTTTATTATATTTTTAAAGTACACCTATGTACCCATATCTAATTTTATGATAGTATTTCGCTGTATTTTTTATCTTCTAACTCTTCATCTTAAAATCTAAAACTAATAATTAATGTTGAATACTTAAGTTTTCACTTGGAATGATCTTGCAATCTTTACAATCTCAAGGATCTCCTTTTCTCAAAAGAAATTAATCAATTTGTGCTTTATTAGATCCATTTTTATTAGTGATAATATGCTCAAATTATTTTCTTAAATAAAATATTAACAATAATAAAATTATAACAGTAACAACAAGCCTTTATCCTACCAATTGGGGTGAAGCGTTTTTCTCCATCATGTCCTATTGAGTGTCATATTTTCATTTAATTCTAATAAATTAAGATCATTTTTATACAACATGCCTAAGTCTTTTTAGGTCTACCTTTATCTTTCTTAATATAAGTAGAATCTAAAACATCCACTCTCCTAACTGGATCATCAGATAATCATCGTTTATTGTGACCAAATCATCTATGACGACCGTCTCTAATATTGTCTGCCACTGGAGCTTCACCAAACCTTTCACAGATGCATTCATTTTGCATTGTCTCTATGAGTCATGCCACTCATCCACCTAAGCATTCTCATCTTAGTAACACCTAGTTTTGTGCTTCTCTTTTATAGAACAAGCGCCATAAAGCATTGCGGGTCTCGCCACCTTCTTATAAAATTTTTCCTTAAAGTCCAAGCAATACTTTTCTATCACACAATAGGCTTGATACATTCCTCCACTTCAACCATCCACCATGAATTCTATCAATAACATCCCTATTTATATCACCGTCACTTTGAACAATAGAATCGAGATATTTAAAACATTTACTCATTTTAATGATCTGATCACCCCTTGTTACA